CGCCTTAATGCTGCGTCCTTCCTTGCGAAGCTTGCGTCCACGCGCATTGCGAACGATCGGCTTTGCCAGATTGCTCTGATCCTTTTTCGTGACACATTCGAGTCCGAGCGTCCTCTTGGAAGCTCTAATGAGCCAGATGATGAACACGAAGAACATCGCCGAACAATGGCTGGACGCTCTATTGCGTCGTTACTCCCATCTGCATGTGCCTGGATCCGAGAAGCCGGGCATAACATCATACTCTTATCCGATGTCTCATGGAATGATTGCTCCGATACTACCTTTGGGACAGGTGGCTTCAACTTTGTCCAGTCGGAGTTAGGTCAACGGGCACCTGGAGGATTTAGTCCCTGGAGATGGTTATACTGGCTTAAGCGGCTACATGAGATTGCCGATGAAGCATCAAAAGCAGATGAGATGGTTCTTGCAGAGCAGGCCGCAAAGGCAATTGACATTATGTTAATTGACGTTAAGGAGAGGAACTCTCGGATTCTCTCAGTGTTTGAGGCAGCGGGCGATGCTGTGACCGAGGATAAGGATTTTATGGGTCTGAAGAGGAAATGGTAGACCTGACATGTGATCCTATGTCCAAGGGCTACCGTATTCTTCCTTTTTCTTTCTTTATGCTATCGTATTTTTTTCTTTCTTTCTTCATTACTATTCTCGTGTAGCAATGAGAACCCGGTGAGCCAGGTCAAAATTTACTATTGGACTGGCGGTAAGAGACTGCCGTACTACATATGTCCAGAAAGGCAAGAACACCAATCATCCAAACGATCTGCTATTGTACAAATTCCAACACCTCAAACTTGCGCCTGGATCTCATCAACGACCCGCCCAAGAGTTCCATTACTCCAGCCATCAACCCGCTCCCGGTCACACGTCTCATACAAAGCACGTGCAAGTGCTGCAAGCTGAGCAGCCTCCTTCGTATCAGCCTCTGCGGCTTGGATCTGGATCCAACTGATGACACCAGAACGAGTGATCAGGGTAGTACTGCCACCCACCTGGGCAGCGCGGTATACAATGTGCAGGATCTTTCGTCGAGCTGCTGGGCCGAGGGTTGGGGACTGGTAGAGGGAAAGAATGCGTTCGAAGACATTAGCTCGTCGGTAAACCTCCATATCCTAGATTCAATGTGTTAGCAATCGTGCTTTTGGAGTATAGAACTGAAAGGTAGAAACTTACAGCCTCGGTGCGGAGTGCCTTGATAAATAGATTTAGGAGCCAGTCGATCTCGTCGAAATACCCATCATCCAACTCAGGTTCGTGCAAGAGGATTTTATCGACCCAGTATGTTGGGATCTTCTCGACTTCCCATAATGGTGCCTTCTGCAGGAACTTGTTGACTTTTCCGTAGACCTTGTGGAGGGGGTCTATGAGAACCTCCAGGCAGTTTGAAGCGCACTCGCCCACAATCCAGGGAACGGGCTTCTCCATGCCAATGTTGTTGACTGTCTCGAGGAGCTCGCCAGCTAGAGTAAACACTGTGCGCCATTCTGCGTAGGTAGAATCCTTGAGTTTGGCCATGAAGCGAATAATGTTGGCGAAGGCCTGTCTCCGGACTTCTTCGTGCTGAGAACAAATGCAGAGCATCAACTCGGCGACATGACCCTGGTCCACTGCTTCTGCAATGTCCTCTCTTTCCCATTTGTTCAGGGCATTGTGGGTCGTGCCTTCAGTGGGCAGGGATCCAAAGATCTCATCGAGGTCAACGGCAGAGGCCTTGTTGGATGAACTAGGCACGTTAGAGCCAGAGTCAATGTCCATCTTGTCTTCGTTGTCGGCATCATCTGCCTCTTTCAGGGACTTCTTGAGAAGAGACTTGATCTTTTTGGTCTCAGTTGCTTCAACCAACGCATCCCGAGCAGCTTTAAGTACCTTGGTACTCTCACCCGCCTGCTTCAGATTACCGAGAAGACTTGCGATCCAGGCACCAACGGCAGCTTCCGTAGATGCATCTCCGCCTTTGACGACAAATGGCCATTGCTCAACAATGGCAGCAACAAGCGCGCTAGTAGTTCTAGACACATCCTCGGATAATGACTGTAGCAAGTCCTGGTAGTGAACTGGCTTCTTGGCAACACGGGAGACACAGTTATCAAAGAAGACCAGCTGCTGATGCAAAGTATCAGCCTCGGAATTCTCAAGGCTTGATAAGACAGATGCAAATGCGTGTGGGGAGCTTTGCAGAACAGAGTTATCAACCAGAACAGTCTTGAGCAGAGTAGAGATACGCCGCGAAGAATCTTTATCTGAAGTATCCATGAGAACCTTGAGAATCGAGGTGAAGGGTGAGTATTGCATGGATGCTGGCTTTTGCCACCAACGCAATGAAGCTGATTGTTGTGCGATCTGGAGAATACTCTGAAGTTGGCTCAAAAGCGATTCAGAATCATCCGCGCTAATGTCTGGGGCTTCCAGGCGCTTGAGAACATCCACCAAAACTAGGGAGACGTCAAAGTTTTCCTCTAGAGCAATGTCCGGCATCACTTCATAGTAACAGGTCAAAAGCTCTGCAACAGCCTCCTGCTGGGTCAGGTCCTCCCTTTCTGTTCTTCGGAAGAGGACAACGACATCCTTGACAGCAGGGCATCGGCGGGAGAACTCTGCCAGCAGCTTAGCAGAAGCCTGATTCCAGAATAGTTGGCCTTGGCCGTGATCCGCCTGGAAGATTTTGAGGACAGCCCGCAGCTTAGTGAATGCGAGAGTCAGGATACGCACGGCGAACAAGGTGATGATCTCCGCATTCTGGTTGAGGCAGCGGGTCATGATCTTCTGGCCAAGGGGACGAGGGAGGATATTTTCAATAACGATAGAGACCGGCGGTGGCAGGATAGGCTGTTTATCCTTCCAGCCACAGTTTGCAGGGACAGGCAACTGCACGGTTGAAAAAAGGAAGGCCGACTCGGCCATCCACGAAGGGGTGGCCTTTGGGTCTGAAATAAACATAGTTTTTCTTGAGAAATAATCGGCAACGAGCTCTGGTGCAACCCTGAAGATGGAAACCAGCAGTTCAATCTGGAGACTATCCACATCAGGCCGAAGGCACTGAATGAGGAATGAAAGGGAACCATTTCGCACGGGGATAGACTCTCGGTATTTGTCCACGTATATGGGAGAATCAAGGCCTAATTCAATGCATGTATCATCATCAACGGGCAAGGTCTCTGGATCGGTTCCGACGGGATACCAGCCGGTCTCGGGCAAGAGGACACCGAGCCCGGCGGTTTTGCACACATTCATCATGACTCGGTGGATCTCATTGGCGATAACGACACCTCCAGCATTAGGTTCATCTGACTCTCGATCATAGCCATAAAGCGTCACCAGTCGTTCGAGATTATGTCTGTTGAAAAACTTGCTCTTCGATTTGCGGGACAGAGCGGAATCTTGTACCACGTCCCTTTCGATAGCCTTGATAATTTCTAATACAGTATCCCGCGGATCCTTCCGGATATATTCAAGGAAAGACCTGGTGATCTTGTGCTGTTCGACGATATCACCCTTCTCGGAGGCATGCTGGACTCTCAGGTTTGCGAGCAGGTATCGTTGAGCGTTGCGTCTGAGCGTCGACTTGTGCGACTCATCTCCTGAGATCTCCTGTGCTTTGTTAGGGGTCAGGAAGACCTCCAGTCGCTTAAAGGTAATGTAGCGCCGAAGATACAGCTGTCGTGCCACTGCTCCTCCGTCAAAAGTCACGATCTCCGTAAGCAAACGCAGGCACGGTGAGATCAAGTGCTCCTTAGACTTGGTTGCTGTCAGACCGCGGTTGAACAATCTCAGCTGGTCTTTCTGCAGCAAATGCTTGCACAGGGCGATTCCAAATTCCCGGAACTCCAGTTCCGACGAGATCGTCTTGAGGAAGATCGCAAGAACAGAAGGGACGCTAGTGAGTAAAGGCTCGTTGTTATTGCCATCGCCAAAGGACCAAGATTGAATTATATCCGCAAAGCACACTGAGGTTTCATCCTCCTTTCCGGAGTTGGTGATCTGTTTATCGCAATAATCCTTGAGGACACGCAATTTCTCTGCCTTTTCGCTCTCGTTTTCCGTGTGTGCAATTGACACCAAGAACTCTTTAAACTTGATTATACCTATTTGCTAGTCAGTTTTGTTGTAGCTTAGGATGGTTTGCGACCTGCCTCACCTTGCTTTGCCAACGGGGCATTTTGCTGGACAGCCAACAATTCACGCAACGAAGCAGCAGATTTGATATTGGATATGACGGCCGTTTTCTCCGGTTTAGGATCGTCAATCTTTCTTCTCTTCGCCCGAGAGGGATGTTCTGTGATGTGCGACATGATTTGAAGGGTTGGTGTCGTAACTTTTTTTTTTATCTCCAGATGTTCTCCGATACCATCGACATTTCAAGCTCGTTGATTGGCCGAGGCCTCCCCGCCCGGTACAAAAGTGTGGATACACCGCTTTATTCTGCCATATCAATACCGAGGCGGTGTGTAGTTAGCCTCCAATAAGTACAACATTGTCGACCAGAAAATGAACCCATTAGACCCCCTAATATTACCCCCTAATATTACCCCCTAATATTACCCCCTAATATTACCTTGGTTTTTGTTATGGTCTAGTGGTAAAATACGTCGTATTTGTTCAACAAACATCATTTACATCATTTTACCATTTGCATGTGTATGTGGTCCATTCCTTTATATGATGTTGAAATAAAAGCTTAGCCAGGCTGCTAGAGAGAGCCCTGTATGGGAATGACACTTGTTCTACTATTATCGGCGATATGAATGGCCCCGATGCATACAACCCTCTTTCTTGCGTTTGATTCTTGACTTGTTCGTCTTATTTCACCCCAAGTCCGAGGTTATCGGTGCTTATCGAAGTCATACGGCATTGGCAAAGATGAAAGGCTGTTGATTTTTGTGTTTGATGCCGATCATTATCATCTTATATACTGCATGGCTTCCGAGCAATCAGTTTGGCCACAATGGCTAAAAGGGGCTAGATCGAGGGACATGGCGTAGTATTTGATGTCCAATTCTCACAAAGAAGGGCGATATTTGGTTGGAGGCACAGTCTATGAGAAACAGTATCGATCGAACACCCGGAGTGGACGGCCTATAGGCTTGAAGGACCGGGAGATGATGCGTTATTGCAGTGCACCCCTCGAAGAAGCAGCCCCTCGAATTATGCCAGATGGACCATTTCTGAGTAAAATGCACACCGATATATCACTAGCAGGCTGATAACTGATAGATAGTACTCCCCAGCTCTTGATTATTTGACGACAGACCCTTCTTTCTGGCGCCGAGGCATCGGGAGAATGCTCGTGCAAAGCGAGTTGTAGGTCGACAAGGAATAAAGACCTATGTGATGTCAGAACCGGCTGCATTGAAGCTATATGTTAGCCTTGGCTTTCGACTGGTAGATACGGTATCGGTGGATTATTCGCATTATGATGGAACGGAGCCAATGGTGATGTATTTTCTTGTTCGCAAGCCATCTCAGGTAGAGTAGGTGCGTGACAACGTATATTACGAACCTCGTTCTTTATTTTATAGCAAGTAATCGTGCATTGCTCATCTCTTGCTACCACATATTGATCCTGAATTTTGGTGTGCACTTCCTTATGATGATTTGATATATTTCTGAGACGCGTCCCATCCTATCCTGCCAACTGGAAAACAGCTTCTTGGGCTATTTATACCATTCAATTCTTCTATTCACTTCTTTCCATCCCTACTAACTTTTCTATCACCTCATCCTCTTCTTCCTCTAATTATCCTCCTCTTCACGACTTTTACTCTGCATCGTTACTATTGTTTTCACCATGGTGAAATACAACACCAGCGATGTCATCAAAGCCCAAATGGCCGAGCTGAACGACCTTGTCAAGGAGATCGCGGTCCTGGACAGCGAGATGACCAACGCAGCTTCTCATAAACGGATTGGATTGTGCCAGGAGAGGATGAGAAAGACATCTCGAATGGAGACGCTTAAGGAACAGATCCAGTGCAAGATTATGGCAATGGACGTCCACCGTAAAAAGACCCTCACGCGCCAGCTTAACGCAATCACGAAAGTCAGAGGCTGGACAATTGACGCGGATAAGAGCAATGACACCAAAACAACCACTGCTGGCACTGCACCCGAAGTTCTCAAGCATGGAAATGAGGAAGAATGTGTAGGCTAGAAGACTATTTGATAACTATACTGCTCCTGGGAACCTACTGACATGACCAGACGAATTCCACTTTGAGTGATGACTGGGTTGTTGTTGCGAAGGATATGAACTCGTGTATCTAGGAGTGTCAAACGGGCTTGAAACTGATTCTAAAACATTTGGTCACTTACCATTCAATCTCATTCGTAGGAAAAATTATTCTATATTGCTCCGAGTTGACTAGAGAAAATACCAAAGTCCCGAGTAATTGCACTGCGATACTCTGCACCAGATAAGAGGAGGTTTTGACATATTTACGACAAATGCTCTTTGCAAGTAGGATATTCTTTCAAACTGCCACCTTAATGCACAACCAGTAAATTATTCCCAGATCGAAAAAAAACCAACTCCGATATTTTAAGCTAAGTGATTCATGCAAAAATACAATGATAGAGAGATATAAGACGCAAGACAGAAAATAACACACGGTTGCAAGCATAGCTGGTATATTGGAAACATAACAAAAATCAACCCCAAGTTCCACCACCACCACCTCTGCCTTGGCGTCGCTGGGCAGAGATACGCCAATCGTCTTCGCCAGCAAAGCGGTTGTGCAGAGGCTGGATGCGCTCTGCCTTCTTACGTTTTGACAATCGATCCGTAGGTGCAACCTTGAAGAAAGTAGGCGCCGCTTCCACGAGCCATTTTGGCTCAATAGCAGTGGTGCAGTGCATGTATTCCTTGGTTGTGAGGACCAGGGTGTGGTAGATGACATGCTCGGCCGGTTTGCCGAACATCGCGGAACTAGGGTGCATGTACACGGGCGTTCCTTCCACCAGGGTCTTGTATCCTTCCTGGGGGTCTTTCCGTGCTGCGTTGCGGAAGAAGCCGGTACATAGAGACTGCCGCACTTTCATGGTATCTCGGCCACAAGAGACGATCCGGTGCTTGTAACGGTTCATGATGCCTAGTAGTTGCTGGCGCACATCTTGGGCGCGCTTGATCTGTCGTGCTTGGATGAAGTTCTCGAAACACCAGGAGTTGTTGAAGCCTGCGTTCTTCCACCCATTGTAGACATTGAGGAGGGTTAGATGATCGCCGTGGGGATCGTGGAATTTGGACTTTTTCTGGTCTGCTTGTTGCTGCTTTTCTTTGGGGCGGTAGAAGACAGACTGGATTGATAGCATGGCAACAATGCTAAGCATTTCATCGGAGCAGCCTGAATCCACGGATGCAATGAGCACCTTCGCAAGCGCAGGTTCCATTGGGAAATCGGCCATCTTTCGTCCAAGTCGAGTCAAAAGACCCTCATCATCAAGTGCTGACAAGGCATATAATTCTTCGAGTGCTGTCAACATTGTGTTGGTAGGCGGTGGGTCCATGAAATCGAAGTGGAGGAGGTCGTTGATACCCATGGCCTTGAGCATGAGAATGGTGTGAGAGAGGTTCTGACGCTGAATTTCGGGAATGGTTGTTGGAAGCATTTCAGACTGATAGGCAGCCTCTGTATACAATCGGAAGCACTTTCCAGGTCCCGTTCTTCCGGCACGGCCAGCTCTTTGCTTAGCTTGCGCTTGAGAAATTGGAGTCACCACAAGAGAATCCATGCCGAGCTTCGGATCGTAGGCATTCTGCTTCACGAAACCGGGATCAATGACGTAGTAAATCTGATCAATTGTGATCGAGGTCTCAGCAATATTGGTTGCAATAACAACTTTACGTCCGCCTGGAGGTGCCGGGTCGAAAATCCTACTCTGCATCTCACTGGGTAGTGCAGAGTAAACAGGTAAGACAACCAGTTCAGGGACAGTAGGTCCCAAAGCTTTCATGCGCTCGAATAAGATCTCACATGCTGTATCAATCTCTTCTTGGCCCGTTAAGAAGAGCAGAATGTCACCTTGCGGTTCTGTCAAGTGAATTTGCATGACAGTGATGAGTGCGGCATCTAGATAATCAGATTCGGGCTCCTTGGAGTACATGACTTCGACAGGGAAAGTTCGACCGGGAATGGAGAAAATGGGACAGCCGTGGAAGTATTCGGAGAACTTTTCAGCGTCCAGTGTGGCAGAGGTGATAATCAATCTGAGATCTGGTCTTCGTTTGACTGTCTTTTTCAACAGTCCGAACAGGATATCAGTCGCGATTGTCCGCTCGTGCGCTTCGTCGAGCATGATAACGGAATATCTCTTGAGGTCTGGATCCAAAAGAATTTCTCTCTGAAGCATTCCGTCGGTCATGTATTTGATCTTGGTGTCTGGGCTAGTACAATCCTCGAAACGGATGGTATATCCAACTTCTGCTCCGAGCTTGCAACCAACTTCCTCGGCTACACGTTTAGCAACTGACATGGCAGCAACACGGCGAGGCTGGGTGCAACCAATCATTCCGGTGTTTCCATATCCGCCCTCGGCCAGGTACTGTGTCAACTGCGTGGTTTTTCCAGAACCTGTATCTCCGACGACAATCATCATTTGATTGTCCTTCACTGCATCCAGCAATTGCTTTCGGAACTTGTAGACTGGAAGACTCTCGCGTTGTTGTTTCATGGACATGGTTGTCCGCTTTCCAAACGATGCGTTTTTGCCCATCGTCACTCTCTTCCACTCCGGTACAGCCTCGTCCTGCTTGGGTTGCTGGGCACTCCGAAGATCAGCAGCAAACTTTCGCTCTTCCGGTGCAACCATGGGGTCCTGCCATTGAGCATTGAGATCAACATCTGCCGCCTTCTCAGCCGCCTTGTCTTGAGCTTCCTGCTGCTTTAGTTCGCGTCTCTCCTTGGCAAGGTTAGTGCCTGCCATGGCAGAACGATTCATTGAGCCATCGGGGGCCTTGACAACACGAATAGGAGAAAGTTCGAGGGATTGCTTCGTCTGGCCAGCCAAGAAAGGAGGCTCCTCATCTTTGACCTCAATGTCGATATCTTCCTCCTCTTCGAAAGTGCCTTCGCCGGAGAGCGTTGCATTATATTCCTCGTCGATGTCGGGATAATCTGCTGCAGAGGCAACCCCGGAGGCAATCAATTGTCTAATCTCCCATCGCTCTGGCGAAGTCATGCGCTTTCGGTTCCTCATTGGTCGACCTCCAGACCCTTCAATAACGGGCACATCGGATCCGAGGCTGCCGTACTTGTCATCTATGAATCCACCATCGAGGCGTTCCATATTTGCACCAGAAGCAAGGCGCTTCTGGGGAACAAGATCCATGCCTGTCACTTGATCCACCTCCTTCATGGACAGTCCGATGCGAGTGCCTTCGATACTAGCCACTTTGACTTTGACTGGTTGTCCGCGCGAGACCAAATCCGAAGGATGATTCACTCGTGCTCCTTCTTGCATTGCTGAAACATGAACAAGACCATCCACCTTCCCCCTGACGCCCTTTAGATTCACAAAAGCACCGAAATCTTTTACACCTGTCACGGTTCCATCATAGACCTTGAAAAGAACGGGATGGTCATCCAGCTCGAGAAGCGGAGGACGACGGAAATCATTATCCTCGTCGCGACCACGGTGTCTCCGATGGTCACTATGGCCATTGCGACGGCTGTCTTCCCGGCCATATTTCCTAATCGATCTCCCGAACTCGTCCACAAGATCATCGTTTTTGTTATACCCCGGGGCGCTTCGAGACCTTGATCGCGAGCGGTATTTGTCTCTGCGCCGTCCACGGTCGTAATCGTTGTTCTCGGGGCTGCGGCTCCGCTTCCTAGTTCCGCGATCGTTTCTCGGCGCATGCGGTTTGTCCTCCTTCGCTTTTCCTGCCAGTCCCTCGAGCATGGCAAAAGTGTCGTCCATCGCGCCTGCCTGTGCATCGGCCTCGTCTGCGGCTTGGGGATCTGTGTAGTCTTCTTCCTCCCAGCGCTTCTCCGTATCGGGGACCGCAAGGCCCTTGAACACGCGAGATTTTTGCTCCAGAGCATCAAGCAAATCCATGTCGCCTTTGGCATCAGAAGCTCCTTTGCCGTTCTCCGCTTTCTTTCCTTTGTATTTGGGGTGCATCGTGAGCACCATGCGGTCGACACTTTCCAGGAGACTCTGCGGGAATTCGCCGCCCATGTCGTCGAAAAATTTCTTGAATTCAAAAAACTTGCCGTTGCATTTGAGGTGCTGATCGATCACGAACTCTGCGAGAGTCTTGTCGGCGATTCCCAGGTGGTTCTCGAACTCGTTCGTCACGCGCGAGACGAGCGAGAACAGCTCCAGAGACTCGAGGTCATCCATGATGGGCGGTGGAACAAAAGAGATCCAACCAGATAAAAGATAGAGCCAGTAAAACTGGATAAGTAACGTGGAAATTGGCGAGCGCGCAAAACACTGCTACCCTGTAGCTCTTCGGAGATCTTGAAGGCGGAAAATTAGTATGGCCGAAGTTGCCACCGATAAGATAAGGCGATCCTTGGCACAAAATCGGTGAGCTGAGCGCTAGGTGCTAGGTTCACCCGAGGTAGCCCTGTCTCTTGGCAAGGCTTCATCATCCATTTATGCAGATGTAATAGTAATTATTGGGAGTCTTCCAACATGTTCAATCAATATGTGAATGCAAGCTGAAAAATACGTACAATTGAGCAAAAAGAAATAATTGATAGGTATTAGGTATGAGATCGGTTTTATACATCTAATATACATATTTCTTGTTGTACATATTCATCACTCTTTGGGGACTTCTGTGTCATAGTATGACTCTGTTAGTTCAGGCTCCGAGTCGTCAAAGTCGGGTGATGAGCTCTCTTCCTTGCCCTCTTCCTTGCCCTCTTCCTCGCCCTCTGCCTCCGGTGACGATTCAAATAATGAGAGTTCGGCGTCAGAGGATTCACCCTCCGCAGCCTCCGCAGCCTCCGCAGCCTCTGAAGCACCTTCTTCGGGCAGATTGATTTCAATCTGCTCTCCCTCACCAGAGGGCTTCATCCAGTCTCCAGCAACTCCCATACGTTCCTGCTCCAACAACTGTTTCTGCAGCGCAATCTGGCGCTTCAGAGAAGCACCCTTCCGCAGCCTCTTGTTGGCAGAGAACTCGGTCAATGCCCGAACCAT